CGGGGGGTGGTGGGTGGGGGGTGGAATGCATGGGAAGCAGAGTTAATCTGCCTTAAACAGGGGGAGCTTTATCAGGGCTAATTACGCAGGTTTAGGGTTATTTCCTTTGGCCGTTTAATGGTGACCTTTTTACAAGATGCGAGCCGGACCATATAGCAGACAGATGAAAGTTTACCCAGGCCTGAAGACAGCACGAAGATGCGAGCCGGACCATATAGCAGACCCAGGCCTACCCAGGCCTAAAGACAGCACTGAGTGGGGGCTGGGTACATCTTTACGTGCTTGGTTGAACCTAGACTCAGGAACACTCGACAACACTGTACCAGCTCTGATTTCGTCAAATCCAGGGAAAAACACCTCGAGGTGGTGTGAATAGATAATATTGGCATGGTGATGCCATCTGAATCTGTCATTTATTCATTTCTCACAGTTGAATCCATTTGTGGGTTGCTCGAGGAAGTTGACCTAATACCAGATGTGGTCTGGCGAGGGCGTGGTAGAGCCGGAGCAGTTCGCCAAAGAAGTAGCTCTTCGTATGACTAAGCGCCCTCTAAATAGCTCTTAGTTTCAAAAAGGTTGGTGACCCCTGGTGGAGTGTCCAGTTAACCCTGACCCCATAGATCTTTTGACTGTTGGAGAAAAACAGAGTAACTGGACAACATGTAAACTCCGTACAGAACCAGCAAAGGTTATGGCACCAGCAGCAGTAACCGTTTCAACATGTGGCCTCGTATGTTGGTTTATTAACTCAAGAAACGCTCTGTCACCAACATTTACACCACAGGCTTCCAACAAAACTATCTGATACACATGTCAACTACATGGTCCTGCCTTAAGGGGTCAGCCCGAGTAACTTCTCCAAGCTGACCTTAAGGCAGTATTGGGCCGTACCTTAAAAGAAAAGTGTTCTTCATTTTCTAGTTTTGTACTAAACTATTATGTTTAATGACCAGGCTTTTTTTTAAAAAAAGTGTTTCACTCTTTTGTTCCTAGTAGGTTGCGCTATTATGTTGAGTCAATTTTGCCTAATCACAGTATTTAGTGTCTGGAAAGGACCTTTATAACGATCTAGTGGGTCAAACGCATGACTGAAAACCTTTGTGATTATGATAATGACATGGCTTCAACCACTGGAAATCAATAAAAAAAAAATCCAAATATTTTATGTAAACCCAGGAAGTAGGTCATTTTGGGAGGTTTGGTTCAACTTCAGGTTTTTGTCCCGTAAGGATCAGTGTTAACGTCTTCAATAGTAGTAATTTCTCCGTAGTAAAAACCTGCTGACAGAATATTTGACTTTGCCCGAGCCGTCCTTGACCTTGAGATCTCTGTTGCGTCTACTTGCCCTCGGTTTGCGTCTTTGATCTGTGAAAGGCCGGTGGCGCTCCAAAGCATCAGGGATCAATACTGCATCTGTCGGAAGTAGCTGTGCAGCAGTAGGGGCCGCGCCTGAGGAGGTTAATGAAAAGGCAGCCCGACTGGATTTGGAGCTGTGGTCCAATTCCCACCTTTCCCCCGTCTGCAACATCATCAAACCATTAGTCTCCGTCCCCGAGTGTGTGCTTTGCTAAATGGTTTAGCGTTGCCTTGGTTAAATGCAGCTGTGTGGGTTTCTGTGTGGACGGACTGAGGGACGGACGGACGGACGGTGTGTGTGTGTGTGTGTGTGTGTGTTTGGTTAGTACATGCATGCACAAGCAGCACTTGAAGACGCAACGGGAGACACTTTGATGGATGGATCTTCTGAGCCCCTCTTCATTTCGTCCCTCGTGGGCCAGAGTGATCAAGGTGGCAGCGCTCCAACTCCTGCTCAACACACACACACACACACACACACACACACACACACTGAGCAAAGACAAACAACCTACTGCTGTATTAGCTCAACACACACACTACCTCAAATGACAAATGTGTTGAGAGAATGACTTTGTTTTTTTTGTTTTTTTTTTTAATTACCTCAGAGCCCATTAGTCTGTGTCATCTCCTGAGTGACTCCTGGGAGAGTGAGAGCACGATGAAGCACAATCCTCCACATGTTCCACCAATAATCAATGAATTGACCTTCGTCTTCGCTGCTTTCCCTCCGTGCTGCTTTTCCTTTGACGCGGCTGAATCGCCGGGACTTGTTACCTCTCATTACGTCGTGTTATTTCTGTTTCCTGCCGTCACCACCGTCTTCTCGCTGTAGTGTTCGCTCCTCCGGCGCTGAAGGAGGTGATGTTCGTTTCCGAAGAGATCCTATTAATGGAATCTCCAACTGGCTTTAACATCGTCCAACATCTGATTACTGTGAATTTCCTAATGTAAAGCAAAAAGTGTGACAACAGGAGAATGTCCATTTAGTAAAATATTTTTGTGGATTATACCTGTGGATTATACCTTGTTAATCACGATTAATCGTGACTATTCAAGATAAGAGATTATTCGACATTCCCTATTATGATATGAAAAAAAAGCAGAAAGACAGAAAGGTTCATTTGTGACTAATGCAAATGATGCAATTATTGATATGAAAAAGTATGCTAAAGTAACTAACAGAGTTAGAGTCAGAGGTATATAGAGTTGGCAGATTGAATGTGGAAAACTTGTCTACAGTGTACAGTGCCTTGGAATCAATTTGTCAGACTCAGTCAGTTACTGTCCTGTACATAAGCCAGGCCTCTGACCCTATGTTGAACCTCCTGAAATGCATGCTGATAGATGGGTTTTATCAAGAAAATATTTTGTATGCGTACAGAAATAATATATACCCGGACATTGAAATTGTGCTTCCATCTTTTTAAAGACGGAACATGTTGGTGTTTGTTGCTTTTTGACCCACTTTCTGTGCAGGCAATCGCAGCTAGAATTGATGATATTGGTTGTCGGCTTGATTCCAGGCTGTGATGCCCCAATTCGCTGCAACATCACTGCCTTCTCTGCAGTGTCTCGATTTAAAATAAATATTTTCTAATCACTTAAATAGTATATTTTTAAAAAAATGAGACATGAGATTGAACCAGTATCTGGAGATATTATGCAGAAATAATTGCAAGGAATACAGCTCTCGTGGAGACATTGTCCATCTGCGCTGTGATCATGGTTTTATTTTTTAATTTTAGGATTTTTTTTCCCTCCTTTTTAGGAGAAGTACAGCAGAATCGAAGCCTTTTTTTTTTTACATCGTCTGACTAAAAGCTGGATATATCCTAACACTTCATCAATCACAATGAAATGCTCACATTTGTATGTAAATGTGTTTCAGCATTTGGAGTGATTTTTTTTGTATTGAAACATTGTTTGGGAGCCGTGTGAGTGGGTGGACCGTGGCAGTGACGATAATTAGACCTGTCCACGTGGAGCTGCAGGCGTCTCTCTGACACTTTAAAGGTCAGCAGAGGACAGAGGACACACAGTGAAGAGGTGAAGACGTATTAGCTAATGAGACCCATGGAT